TTACTTCGTATGAAAATGTCTGTGATGGGCTTCTAACTTCTAACTAGCTAGCTAGTTGGTTTTTAGTCTTCGGGGTACTAATTGTTACATATAGTGCTTGGGGACACCCCCCTCCCCCCTCAAGCTAGAAGTATCTTCGAACCTTTCAATGCTTCTTTCTGCGACAAGTCCGCGACATTTGACCTTGACGAATATATTTGGCGACATAACACACGACACACCAGAACCAAAGGACGCATAAATACCATGCGTCAAAACATCATCACTCCAAGCACACTCAAGCCGGCAACATGCCGAAGAGGGGCTGTAGATGAGCCTACGACGGTGGTATCACCTTCATTCACCACGTGCAACACCCGTCCACAATTAATTGTAAATGCCGTGCGTTCAAGTGCTTATTATTCACTCCCGGATCCCCCAGGCCCCTCCATCACCTCCATCAACAAGAAGACTAAACCGCCGCTTCTTCGAGCGCTTGTTCGCCCCGAGCACCTTCGCCCTCCCTCGTCGTCCCCCCTCACCCCCACACCACACCCTCCCCCTTCTCCTCCTTCTCGCCCCTCCCCTCGACAAGCTCTCCCCCCCCGGTACATGAAATGTGCCCCCTTTGTATATGTATTAGCGTGTTTATATAGGAAATTGTATCACATCGGGTAGGCCTGTCCTCCATCGGCCGTTTTATTTTCGATTTAGATACACAAACTTTATTTCTATACTAATTTCAAGTAATTCCACCTTCTTATTCTCCGTCATACAAGCAAAACGGCCGATGGAGGACAGGCCTAACATCGGGGGGGGGGGGGGGGGCCTTCGTACCCCCCCCCCCCCCCCTGGAGGGGTCTGAAAAAGTTTTGTCGGGTAGGTGTCGGAGATTTTTTTTTGTGCGCCCTTGTATTATTAGCTAGTGAAGACTAATAATATCTAGTCGCTGAAACTTGTTGACGCGCCCGAGCGAGCTCGCTCCAAAAATACAACAACACGTGCTGTGTTTATTTACGGAAATCGAGCGCTTCACGTAAAGTTGCCCACCATCGTATGACACAACTCTTCTTGGGCGTGTCATCTTGAGACGCCCTCGGGAGGCGGGAGTCACCCACGTCCCGAGATCGTTGCTCACTGCTCACGTTGTGGATCCGAAGACCCGCTGGGGGAGGTCTTACAACATGGGGAGGGAGCAGAATTTGCCGGTCGACAAGACGCACGTTCGCCGACCAAGAAACGAGCGCTCGAGTACGCCTCAAGAGCGTAACGAAAATTGGCGACATGGGGACAAAAAGAAAGGGAATTGGGAAGGCAATGGCGATAAGGACTACGGGAAAGAAACGCAACCGTTCCGGGAACTTCCAGGAGAAAGAGCGCTGCTGCGCGACCAACACAAGAAGGGCGGAGAGATTTTTGTTCATTTTGCCCGCTACTCTGCTCTTCTTGTACCCACCTGCTCTCGTTGGATTCTCTCTCTCTCTGTCTGTCTGTCTCTCTCTCTCTCTCTCTCTCTCTCTCTCTCTCTCTCTCTCT